CCAAACAATGAACAAATGGGGGACCTAGAAGGACTGTGGAGTGGGTGGGGCTCGAGTTCAGGGAGGTGTCCTCAGGAGCGAGCTTCCCTGAGAGCTTCACCATAGTTCTCCTCCACAGAGAAACCCATGCTCAGGCAGCCACCACCAATGCAGATATGGGATGTCACCAATCCAGATCTATTCTTTGCCAGGGAGACCAAGCCTCTAGTGTAGGTGCACTCTCCTGCAGTGGGGCCTGCAAGAATTTGGACTCCCAATGCCTCTCTAATAAACATTCAGAGCCAAGCCTTCTCCCCAGACCTGTGACCTGGAGGGGCTAGGGTTGCCAGAAGACTAACAGGGCACAGTTCTCTCCAGACCTGGAGTCTTGAGTACGACCGTTAGTCAGATGTGAGTTCATAGGCCCATGCTATGCAGTCTGCGATCTCTGAGTTCATTGGAGTGAGAGTCTGACTCCCCATGGACATACTGCTCAGCACATTATGTTAAAAGTTCAATTTCACGAATAGGAGACAGAAACAGGGATACTGTAACCGTTTAGGGCCTGACACCAGGCTCCATCTCTCACCTCAGCTGACCTGGGTTATGGGGCATGAGTCCCCTGAAAACTCAGGGAGGTCTCTGTCCTAAGCTGCAAACCACCCTGTGGGTCTGCCTTGCAAAGAGCCACATTTACTGCTGTGCCATGGACTGGCCTGCTGATCACTCTGACCTCCCTCATCCACATAAAAGTGCCTAAAACCTTCTCTTTGGAGAATAAAATGATTGAAGAGTGTCTGTAGGCTCTTCCTTCCTACAGGGAAGATGGGTACAATCCATGCATTTCTCTGAGGGATGTCAGGAGGACTGAGTCTCAGTTGACCACAATGGAAACTTTCTCTCAAACATACCACTCATGAGGCATTCTACCTTTCCTGTTTCACTTGATCTTAATCTCCTGACCTCTAGGACTATGAGGGAATAACTTTCTGTGTTTTGAGCCGTTGTTCTTGTTATGGGAGCCATAGAACACTAATCCAAGCCTTGATTTTGTAATCATTATATTCCTTATCAATGTATAAATGAAGGTGGTCCCATGCCTAGTCATTCAGAAATCCATATCCCACATGCTTGTCTGCAGTTTGAATTCAGGACAAGGCAGCTGGAAAAACAGGCCATCATGGATCATGCGAGACCAAAATCCCAGCAGGATGAGGAGATGGAAAAGAAGGGATCACTGCATCACCACATCTGATCAGGGGGCTGTTTCTCCCATTCCTCCTCTCTCTGTTTCTCTGTCTCTCTCCAGTGAGTACATAGGCCTTCTGGAAATTATATATGAACAAATAAATAATCAGTAGAAGACAGGTAATTAAATAAATTAACAAACCATGATGGAATCAGAGGCTGTCTGCCAGAACCTTACTTCAGGGGCCAGCAGGTGACACGGTTGTTGAGACACTGGACTCCCAATGTCTGACCCTGGTTTGAGTCCTGTACCTAATGACTTGCTTCGTTCTATCTCTCTCTTTTTCTGTCTCTCTCTAATGAGGAAATGTGTCCTGCAGCAAATTTCAAAATATTTATGATGGGGACCAGCCTTTGGCATAATGGATATTTTGCTGTAATCGACCACAGTTCAAATCCCGGACCCAGTGGATGAAACTCACGCTCAGCATGTATGTATGCTGTCCAAGATCCCAAGGAGAGAATAGAAGAGAAGGGATTGTGGCATGACCATCCCCCCCTATGGGGTGATTTCTCACTTTCTGTCTCTCCATCTCTCTGGCAAGTGCACGCTACCTATAGCAAAACAAAACAAAACAAAAAAAGCAACTCTCACCCTCCCAAAAATAATAGTTATGATGGAGAAAAGCAGATGGAATATGGGTTACATTGAGTGACTTCCATGTAGTCAATTTCATATCAAGTCCCGGACCTGCCAGCTTGAAACTCAACTCAGCATGTGTGCATACATGCTAAAAGTCCCAAGAGGAGAATGGAGAAGAAGGGATTGCAATGTGGCCACCTACTGCATTGGATCATTTCTCACTTTCTCTCCCTCTTTTTGACTGCTGAGCACATGAACTCTATAGGAACAAATATCTAATATATATATTAGCAATCATATAATAAAAAAGTGAAATTAATAATAATATTTTTCAAAAGACCTTACTTCAAATATTTCAGTGGTGGCCGGTTCAAGGTTAAAAGTTGGAAAAAGTTAAATGTGGAAACAGCAATGAAAAGAAAACTGAAGTGGGACCACAGATGGATCCCCAACTGGAGCCAGATAGGAAAGGTCCTGGGTTCGCTCCAGATCCTTTTAGTGCACACCGGAGCCAGATAGGAAAGGTCCTGGGTTCGCTCCAGATCTTTTTAGTGCACATTGGGTGTGCCCGTGCCTATCTCTATTCAGGACAAACTGTGACTGGGGTTGGACTATGGCATAATGACCCTGGTAAGCGAGCTTTTCTTAATCGCTCTTTCAGCCTTTCACTCTTGCCTCTGTCTCCTTCTTTGAACAAAGAGACAAACAAGATTTAAGAAGATAAAAAGAAATTAGAGATTTGCTTTTGAGAGAACTTTGCTGTAGGAAAAGTGCTAACTTCAGAAACAGAAAAACAAATTGTGAAAAATCTCCCCCAAGGATGAATGGTCTTACCATAGTCCTTCCTCCTCCAGTCTTGTCTCAGGATTTTGGGCAAAAATGTACACACACCCAGTGTGAGTTTCAACCCCCCAGCTATAGAAGCAAAAGTATGTTTGGGAGTCCAGCACTTTAACCACTTTAACCTGTATGCCATCTGCTGGCTCCAGACATTAGAATATTTTTAATATTACATATATATGTATCTGACCTAAGAAAATTGTTAGAAAGTGAGAGGGACATAATACGATGGAGGGCCTTTCCTTTTTGCCGACTTATCTATTCTAAATATGTAAGCACCAAGAAGCTGCCCAATCCTGGAGGCAGAACTGATGAAAATGAAGGGAGAAATAGACAAAACCACAATGAATTAGGAGACTTCAACATCTCAAGTCCACGACTGAAAATACAAGTAGACAGAAAACAGGCAGCATCAAAGCAGAGGTCAACTACATCATCAACCAACATATTCTAACAGATAATGGTAATAAATTCCACTTGGAAACGACTTCAAACCATCCTTCAGGTAGCCCACACAACGTAGGCCATGGTAGACTAAATTTTGAATCACAGAATGAACCTCTACAAAGTCAAAAGAAATGATCCCATGGAGTGTGTTCCTAGGCCACATTGAATCAATGCAAATCAGTATGAGGAAGGTAATGGTCAGCTTTCTCCAAACCATTGGAAATTAATAAGAAATTCCTAAACAAGTGTGGGTGAAGAAGAAAATCTGAAGATACACATAATAAGTCACTGATTGAGGACCAGTCCCGTGGTGCAGTAGTAACACACAGTGCACAGGGAACCAGACCCCATATAACTGACTCTGGTCCACAGGACACCAGATCCCATTTGGTGGACCGTCATTTGATTCTACGCCACAGCAGTTTGAAAGATAAGCCAGGTGTGTGTGTGTGTGTGTGTTCCCAGCCCAAAATCTTGAAAGGATTGAGAAACAGAGGGAATGGATTATAATGTGTTCATGCCCAATACGTAATAGATTTCTCTCTCTCCTCCTTTCTCTTTCATGAGGCTTATTCCTCCACGGAAAAACAACACCAAAACAATGAATGAAAGAAAACTATAACATTTCCTAAGTGGTAGAAATCAGCTAGAGCAGTGCTGAAAAGAAACTGTGTAGTAAGAAATTCACACGTTACAAGAACCGAATGAAGTCACTCTCTATGCTCAAAAACCTAGAAAACAGAAAGAAGATAAAACAAAAGTATAGAGGGAAAGCAATAGTAAAGATGAGAGCAGAAATCAGTAAGATTGAAAACAGAAAACCAATAGACAGAAATAATAAAATAATGATCTTATTCTTTGAAAACAATAAATCCAGACACTTCTGAGTGAATGAGAAGAAAAATAGTAATAGTACCAACATAAGAAATAACAGTAGAGGGTATGACTACAGATCTCAAGGCAGATCTGAAACAAATCAGAAAAAAATGACAAACAGACTAAATAATATAATGTCGTTATGATAAATCAGTTCATCCTTTAGCACAGACTGCTAAAACTCACACAAAAATAGAGAGCAGTGAGAACCCCTGACTTTTATGTTTTTAGATTTCAAAATAGGGCATGTGCACTCACGAGAGAGGAAGAGAAAGGGAGGCATCCTCCTCCAGGGGTGATGATGACACGGCAATCCCTTCACCTGTGTTTTCCTCTGGGGATATTTGGCATGACACGTCCAACATGATTTCAAAGTCATCCTGTTGAGGACCCCAACAATAGTTTGCTGCCTGGGAGTCTACTGTTTTAACCACCACGCTACCTGCTGGCTCCTTTGAACTCTTTTAAAGGGACACATTGAATAGCACTTTCAGGGAACAGCAGTTAGCGTAATGGCTATGTTGCTAGACTCCCACGTAGTCAACCTTGGTTCAAGTCCCGGACCCGGTGACTTAAACTCATGCCGGACACGTGTGCATGCGTGCCCAAGATCCCAGGAGGAAAATGGAAGAGAAGGGATTGTGGTGTGGCCATGTCCCCTGGGGGATGATTTCTCGCTTTCTGTCTCTCTGTCTCTCTCTGTCTGGCGAGCGCATGAGCCCTATGGTAAAAACCTCTCCAAAACAAAAGAAGAAAGAAAAGAAAAGGACTTTTAGAGTGACTTGTGGCTTCCTGTTCCTCTGGCCTGGACACAGTCCTGAGGTTGTCGAAGACAGGTGTTTGGAGTCTGGGCAGAGAAGGAGCATCATTTATGCCTTTCTGCATCTTCCTGAGGGGCCCAGGACACGGTCTCATTCCATTTCTGCTTTCATATTTAGAGGAGGAAGGGAGGGAAGATACCGGGTTGAGAAAATAGGGCATCTGAAGTAATGTATAGTAACTAAATTTTATTCGAACTATACAAAATTAATGGAGGGACATGAAATACTAAAGAAAGAAAAAATAAGGAAATAAATAACAAAAAGAAGTTTTCTGGCTCCCAGGAGACAGCAGGGGCAGTGAAGCACAGAAATCATAGGGGAGGCTGGGACCAGACACTGGGCAGTGTTTGGGGCCTCTGAGAGCAGCAGAGGGGAGTTAGGCTCCAAGGTGGGTGAGGGGCAGCACACAATCTTCTGCAGTATCAACATCTCTCACTGGGGGTGGTGAAGAAGGCTTCTCCACGGAGGTTTGTGGCATCAGGGTCAGTGGTGAGGATGGCCTTGGGGGCCTCATGTGAGGGCTAGTGCAGGTGACTGTGGTTTCAATGTAGGCTGATGCCATGGTGGCCCTGAACGCAGCCTCTGGGGTCGGTGCGGTATCTGGGCTGGCTCGCAAGTGGATAGAGCTGTGCAATACTAGATGGTCCTGGGGCTGCAGGAGGAGGAGATAACAACATTCCCCATGCCTGCCGGGCCACAGCCATATGATATCCCCAGCCTTCAGACCACCATGCCCCTTCCCCGACTGCATGACGTCTTCCCATTCTGCAGCATCTGCCCCATTGGACCGCTATGACCTGGCTTCTGGGAGCTTTAGCCTCTGGAGCCTCCTGGAGGAAAGCTTACCATACTCAAGGAATTAGGGGGTTCCCAGTCCTGCTCACCCTGAGGATCGGCATCACGGAGTGCTGAGCTCTCCAGGTGTGCCAGGAGACGTCTGGATCGGTGCTCTAGGTCTGAGCCAGGCATGTTGAGGGTCACATAGGCCAACAGAAGCTTGAGGCACAGAAAATCTGGGGGTTGCTGGAAATCTTCTGAAAACTGGTCCACCCAGGTGGCCAGGATGGAGTACATGTCTCTGCAGGTAGATCCGGACAACAGGGTCAGAGGCATTGCATCTCCTAGCCAGCCTGGAGGTTGAAACCGGCCTCTCAACCCAAAGCCCACTCACTTTTTAAGTTGGTCCTGGGGTCTGCTGTCCTCTGTGGAATAAGGGAGGATACATCCATACCTAGAGGAGGCCAGAGAGGGTCACAGCTACTGTACCTGTTGCTACTCTGTGTTAGAGACTGATCCCTGACCAGGTGGAGTCAGGAGGGAGGGAGTTATTTCTGTTTGTAAAATTCAACTATGGTAGTGCCTAGAAAACTGCAGAACATACAATAGGTACTTCATGTATGTTCGCCCGGGGATGAGTCCAACCAGTCCCTTTCCAGATGCCTGACTAAGCATGGGGAATCTCTGCTATCCCTGGCATCCCTACTATGGCTGCACCAAACATGGGAATCCCAGATGGACTCTCCTCCTCCTCTTCACATGGAAACACTGCTTTGACCAAAACCACTGAGCTTGAGGCCAAGGCCAAGTGATTCCTCCAAGGAGAGGAAAACATGGGTGAGACCTCACCCACAGACAGCCCTTCCTGCATTCCAGGTCTTGGACTCACCTACCCAGTCTTCAGCCAAACCCCATGAAGTTAGTATCTGTAGCCTTCTCTATACCTCAGGAGTAAAGTGAGGTTCAGGGAGCTGAGGGGCCTCTCCATGAACTACAGCCCTGTTGGGTGGGGCTTACTTCATGAAGAGCTGGTCGAGAAGCTGCTGGGTGCTGCCACACTTGCAGTAGTTTTGCAGGAAGCTGTACCCTGTCTTTTCTTGGTTTGTGGCCATCTTGCTTTCATTCTGAAAAGGGACGAAGGAGGAACGAGGATTCAAACCCATGAAAATACAAACTGTAGTATGTTAAAATACTGTGCATAGAGCGCGTTTTCAGTTTTCTGAAATCATTCCAAAGTGGTGCTCTGCCTGGCCAAGGCTGTGCTCTATGATGGGGTGGAGAAGGGCAGGGATGCACATATGTGGAAGCTGGACTATGACCTCTCTAAGGACAAAGACTTGACAGAGTCCTGGGAGTTCCCTGGTGGGGGTCTGGGAAGGAAGCCTTTGAAAAATCTGGAACTGGTTGGAAGTCCCTTTCTCGCTGCCCTGACCCTGTTGGTCCCGCCTCTAACTCAGGGAAGTGGAATGGGTCAAATCTTTTGACTGGTTTCTCCCAGTGTCCTGCATTCTGATAGGCAGTGTCAGAGATGTAGGAGGCTCGGGGCAGTAGAGCCCTGCCTTGCCCTCCCACTTCAGCCCTGTGACCTTCTGTTGCCTAAAGGACACACAGTCCTGGGTGGACCTAACCGCCACATGGATAGCACAAGGACCTACTCCACCTCATGGCAGATATCAGGCAGAAGGTGAGCCCAACCTCCCCTATCATTCAGCCACCAATGATATTCACTGGCCGTTCTAGCTGTCTAAAACCCTTAACTGCCACCTGCCCAGAAGGCCCTCCCATGTTTCCCTCCTGACACTTGCACACTGGGATGGGTATATGGCATCTCAGATGAGACCTGAGCAGGGGCCAGGCTGTGCTGTGCTGACCAGTCCTGGTTGTCCTGTGTTACCTTTGGCTTCTTCCAAGCAAATGTCCAGGGGTCTCGGTGACGAAGGCTGACCCAGTGCCTCCAGCGCTGCCAAGTGCCCTCAGCCCTGTGTGTGCGGAGGTCTGAATCGTGGGAATGGGGGACACAGTGTAGAAACATGCTGCTCCCTCGAGTATCTTTAGCTAAATAAGCTTGGTATGGCTGTTACTGGAATGTGGGTGCCAGGTAACCAGGGTTCTGGGTTCTGTTGGGGTCTACTGTGAAGGAAGTGAGGTCACTTCCTGGGCTCTTCTTCCTGGTGTCTTGGCCTTCAACAAATCTTCTGAAGGTCCCATAGGGTACCAGCTGTTCCCCCTCCAACCTGGGCAATGTCCAAACTGTGCATAGTGACACCCACACAAACACCCCAGGGTACCTAGCAGGGACTGGCTGCAGTCAATGCTACAAGAGTGGAGAGACAGAGCTGTTGTTAGACCTGCCATCCCTAGCGTCCCCTTAGGTGACTATTGCAGAGATCATGGTGCCTCTAGGAGGTTCCCATCCCTGTGTGCTGACAGGATCAATCTGGCATCTGCTGACCTGTAAACACCCATATTCCCCTGGAAAACCGAGGTCTAGTGTCCAAAACAGATCACAAATTCATAGAGGTGAAGAATTAGCAAAGGGAGAGTCAAAAAGAGAAGCCCAGCTCTGACTAGATCTGGTTGTCCCTCTTGGTCCAGGGAGAGTCACTTCCTGTCCTGGTCTCATGTCCTCATCCTCTCCATGAGAAGCGTGAGGTGAAGTGAAACTTAGACATCATTGCCCTCTTTCATGAACCTTCCAGTCTGCTGTGTTATCTTGGGGATTGTTGGTCTGTGTGGTCAGGAGCCCGATGGTTCTGAGATTTCTGCCCCTGGTACCAAGCTGTGCAATCCCTTCCCCTTAAGGGCTGCCTTAATGCAGTTTCTCCCTTATAAGCAACAAAATATCAGCACGTATGAAAGAAAGATGTTGTATGTATCCACTCTGTATATACCCACTATCTGCACTCTATTGTAGAGAGTGAAATATTGGAGGACATAAAAGCAGTGAGGATACTTAACGAGGATAAGACAGAGTGGAATGGGGTGGGGACAGAATAGTATAGAAAGAGATAGCAAGAGAACAAATAGAGAAGCATGACATTAATAGGACACAGATATGGCTTACTACCTGTTGATGATGACGTGTATAATATTCTCAACTGGATTGGTCTGAGAAGTATTTCATTTTGGGCAGTCTTTTTATAGAAATGAGAAATAGTGATTGTTTAAAAAATAATTAGAATAATAATCAGGAAAAACAATGAAAAGATATTGGATGATGAAAGGGGGATTTTAATGTCTCTGTATTGAGTGACATGCATGGTATTCCTTCTGGAAAAAGAAATGTAATACACCATAAAGCTATATGTGAATGAATGTAATATATACCAGATCATGATGATAATAATAAATAAAGAAAGAAGAAAGAAAGAAAGAAAGAAAGAAAGAAAGAAAGAAAGAAAGAAAGAAAGAAAGAAAGAAAGAAAAACTTGAAAAAAGAAAAAATAATACTGAGTGAGGAAGAATCTGAAATCTTTGTGGTCCCCTCTCTATGATGTTACCCCTTCCCTGGCCTAATCCACACTGCCAGGCAAGCTGAGATATTGCAAGTTCCCCATGGACTGGCCCCAGGGCTAAAGGGATCCCATAGGGAACCAGGCAAGAGATAGTTCCCCCATCCATCTTCCACCCAGAACAGTTTAGGGACCTCTAGTCATGAGGTGAGTGCTCCTTGTGGTCTTCACTACTGAAACGCCCTGAGTCAACTCCTGGGCCACATTCACCCTGCATCAAGTCCTCAAGAAACCAGTTGCTGGGAGAGGGTCCCAGAGAAAGCACAAGTGCACACACTGAGAAGCACTCTGGGAGGAAAGCCTGGAGCACCCCATAATTCACCTCCCTGTAAATCTTCACCTTGACTTCAGGGTGGGGAATTAAAGCAATGCTCATCAGCCAGTGTGGTCTACCTGGAGATCAGAAACCTGTACCTCCCAAATCTCAAACTTGTGACACCAAGTGGACCGAGGACCTCTACCATGGGCCATCAACCCAGCCTCATGCAGGAAGAGGAGAAGTCTCTGGTATCCATGTCTGGTGTGGGGCTGGGCTGTGCTGGCAGAGGTGACACAGTAATTCACTCACATGAAGGCCTGCCTGTCCAGGACCCATTCAGACCCTTCTACCCAGACTTACCACAGATTGGCTCCTCAGGGCAGTTGTGTGGGAGGGAAGTGTGAGTCCTGAGAGCCACGAGGGCTCTCTGGGAAGCTGCCCACAGTGCATCCTTGGACAAGGCCCTGACTGCAGAGATGAGGGGAGGTTAAGAGTCCATCAATAAGAGCCCTGTCTTTCCTTAGCGCTACGTCTGCAGGGGTGAAGGCCATGCTGTGACCTCTGGGAATGGGTTGACCGTGATGAGCCCTTGGTGCCATGGTGTCATTGGCACACACTGCCAAGTTACTTCCCAAAGTCAGGGTCTCTACTGTGTCTGCAGTGGGCTACTGCAGAGATGAGGGGAGGTTAAGAGTCCATCAATAAGAGCCCTGTCTTTCCTTAGCGCTACGTCTGCAGGGGTGAAGGCCATGCTGTGACCTCTGGGAATGGGTTGACCGTGATGAGCCCTTGGTGCCATGGTGTCATTGGCACACACTGCCAAGTTACTTCCCAAAGTCAGGGTCTCTACTGTGTCTGCAGTGGGCTCCCAGCAAGTATCTAATGAACATCGTACCCTGAGAACCAAGCACACACAGCAGAATACAAAGCTGCAAGCCCCATTTGGCAGCTGTCTGCTGTATTTCCTCTGAATTCCGCCATGGGAGACAGGCCCATCCCAGCCAGTCTGGTGCTTCCAGTGGCTCACTTGGAATGTCCAATCATAAAATTGCCCTGAAATATACGCATTGGAAAAGAGCCAAGTGATGGAAAGTCTTCGTACTGAGAAGAGTGTGTCTATTCAAACCTCGCAGGAAGACCTAACAGTCACAGTATCCAGGACCCAACCCAGAACTGACAGCTGTTAGGAGACAGGACCAGGAAGGTTATTCCAGTTCTGAAGGGGCTTGGTTTATCTTATGTGAGAGGATGGGTGGCACATCACAGAGAGGAGTTGAAGTACACTGCAAGTATCGTCAGCTCTGTCCTGACCCTTGGCCCACTTTAACCTTAGTTGGTGAAGGGATTGACCTGATTTGCTTCACCTGGCCTGGCTGAGTGTCATCCTGAAGAGGTGTAGCACAGAGGAAGGAGGTGAGAATCCATCGTGTTGAGGGAGGGGTGAGCGACTGTCCAACCGCCCCCATGGGGACATCTATCTTAGGTGTTTCTAGCATGGCCATGTGTACTTAGACACTGCTGAGCGTGGTTAATATGACAGGGAGGTGTGGTATTCTCACCATGGTACTGAAGGGAAGGGACATTAGTCAGTCAGTGCCCTTGAATTAGCGGGTGTGGGTGCAGTGGTCGTAGTCTTGGGTGGGCTCTCATTCAGGGGCGTGAGCTGCTGGTTGTGGATCATGACAGGATGACACCCTCCCATGGTTGAGGCCAAGAGTGCTGTGAAGGTTGGTCCCCTGGAGGCTAGGTGCTCCTCCCAAAGATGTCCAGGTCCAAGCACCTCCTGGTAAATTACACCTTTACACACCTGCAGACACCCACAAGGCCATGCAGTGGGGCCCATGAGGACAACTCCGTGGACCTACCCTCATACACAGATACTGCTGGAACCGACAGTCCACTCTGAAGGCTCCTGGAACAGCAGAATAATAGACTGCTACTACCTCAGAGCAGAAACCCCAAGCTGCCAGCCATGCCCCAGCTTCAGGAAGGGCTCAACCTGTCAGACCCAGCTCCACCATGGAATCCTCTCAGACCTGGTCCTCCTGAACACCACCAGGTGGAAACCTGAGACCAGTAGGGCACGCAGCCTAGGGCCATTTCTGTCAGTGTCCAGTCTGTGATCCTATGGACAAAATCCCTCTGGGGTTTAGCCACGGGACCATTAGGGACATGGGCATGTGTGCACAAGGATGTGTCCTCTGGGCCAAATTAATTTAATACCAGGGCAGAAGCTGGCCAAACCTGGAAGCAACCTTGAGGGCACGGGCCACTGCTGACCTGGGCAGAGGGACACTACATAATGGCAGACGTTCCATCTCCCAGCACAGGTCAAGTCAGTCATCCACACAGTGATCCCAGTACTCACCCCACCCACTCTTCAAATGGCACCCAGTCGAATCTGCATCCACCAACATCTGACTGTGGTCGAGGCCTGGATGACCCACACCAAGGAGGAAGCCACACCAGCTGTAGCTGTTCAGGTGGCAGCAGAATCTGTGCAGCCCACAGGTGGGAGCTTCCCTGGGGATCTCAGAGGGTCTTTCATTTGACCCTGAGCTCTGTAGTGTCATGATCATTGCTCGGTCTTTCCCACCCCTCTTCCTTTCTCTACCTTATCTCACCCCCCAAAACTGGGGGCTTCCACCTGTCTTTTCTTCAGTTGGAGCATCTCAGTGATGGGAGAATTTCTGTTGCAGAGGCTCCTTCTGCTGTGTGGGCGACACAGATAGGCTAGCCTTAAAAACTACAGCACTTTTACCCCGAAAGCTGAGATTTACTTACCATCTGAAACCAGGTGGCTGTGGGGACCATGTGTGCACACCTATGCACATGTGATTTGATGCCACTTCCAGGGCCATGAGGACAAGTGTGCAAGGAATACTCAAATGACATGGAACTCCCACTCCCTCATACTCAGCATGGCAGCGCCGGCCTCTCAATCTCCTGTACATTCTCCTGTTTTCTGTGCCTGTGAGAACACAGGTCAGGGGAGGGCAGGGAATGGCCCGTGTCTGTCCTCTCCACGCCTCCTGCAGCAACTGGTCCTTCTGAACATGTTTGTGTTTCTTTACTTAGCTTTTTTCCTTTTGTGGAATTGGCCATGTGTACTCATTACACAGAGACAGAGAGGACAAGTGAAACATAATCCACCCGGGGGGGATGGCTACACCATTATCCCCTCTCTTCCATTCTCCTCTTGGGATTTTGGGTGCACATACATATACCCAGTGTGATTTTCAAGCCACCATGACTGAGACTAAAATC